CTTTATTCTGTAAATCTCTCCTAATCCTTCCCTGCCGCCCGTCTAACCCGCGCCGTTCGGCCCGCCAAGACAACCCAAAATGCGTCCTCTGTTTGCAATCTGAAGCAAGTTTACCCTGCCGCCCCTTGCCGATCCCCGCCCAGACGGGGGCGAGGGTCCCAACTCAAAACGCAAACGAGGCAAGCTTTGACGAAACGGTAAAAGACCGGTGCTCCGCGTTGGCAGTCTGCAGTGGGTGGGTGGCAGCCTGTAGCCTGTAGCCTGCCAGTGGGTGAAGAGAGACAGACAGAGGCACATCACACCGTAGCCAGTTGATTACCCAGGGGCAAGAATTGACGATGCTTGGTGGGCAAGGCCCCAGAGAGCTAAGACTTGAGCGAAGTCTCAGGAGGGCGAGTGCAGGCGAAAGATCCACGGCGGCTAGCGCACCTTGCACCTGGCACCCTGCCCATCCCACGGAATGCGACCACTGAACCGTGCTGTTGGCCGTTGGAGCTCGGCTTTACTTGCGCTTTTCTCCAAACAAGCCTGACGACAGGAGACTTGGCTCCGTCCCAAGTATTTGGCGAGTTGCAATCGGACTTTTCGAGATGCGGAATACTGGAGAACGCGGAGACGCTGGGTCTCTTTTTCTGTCTTGTTACTCTGCCAAAGATAGATGGCATGCGGGATTCGAAACGGTTGCTCCTGGAGGTTGGCGTTGAATCGTACGCCCTCTCATCACCGATTCATGGGCGCCTGAGGGGGGCATCGGAAGACGCCCGATTGATTGTCTTCACGGTAGATGTCGATCCAATCGAGAGTCTACAGAGAGGTGACAAGTTCACTAAAGGCCGATGATGGTCTCTCATTGGATTACTCCGTGCTGTTTAAGTGATACTTGGCAGGAGGTCTGTTGGAAGGGGTGTCTTCAGCGGGCGTCTGATCGCGGGCTTCTAAGCTGGTGAGCGGCAAAACAATCTAGCGTTGTTCGTATGTCGTTAAGCAAGTATCTTGGGCCTTCTACTGCTCGTGTTCATTGCCCTTAGCATGTTTGCATAGTGCTATTGACAGTGACACAGGCCAGGGCTGTCAGGTCCGCTGAAAGGGCTTCATTTCGCGCTGACTCGAAGACATGAAGAACCTACGATGTACAATGACATGAGGAAACCAACACCACTCTCATTGTCGATAATACGCAATTGTCTAGAAGTCAGCTAAGTGACAGACGGACATACGGACTTTTGGTGCGGTGTAGTTTCAATCAAACATGACATGTCCCCGGGACACGAAACCACCTGCTGGCGCGTCCATAACGGGGTGCCTTGCCGTACTTTGCCGTATTATCGCTGCATTACCATCCAAGACGATGCCCTGGAGGTGCCAGAAGAGCCTGCGTCACTACGGGATAAACTGCTCGGGCAGACGCGCCAAGTCTATTTGTCCATCGGCAATTGAAGGCTTCACAGCAGCGTTGCACACAGCTGCTTAACGCCCAGAACACCACAATTACAACCGTTTGACACATTTAGTTCATCAAGTCAAAATCACTCTACTTCAAACAGTCCGATTTTCTCCTTGCTACATTTAACCAAAAAAAAAAAAAACATCATCGTCAGTGGTTTAGTGACATACGTACATCACGGCACCAACACGCCGAACATCATCGGAACACCTCCACTCACCATCGGCAAAACCTCCCAACGCAGAAACGCAGCTCCTGCCGCCGCAAGGGCCAGCGCTCCAGGTCCGCGGCACGCTAACCGGACAATCCGCCGAAAGCTGCCTGCGTAGGCGGGTTTGGTTGGAACTGCATTGCAGGCCGCTTGGACCAACGGACGACGACGCAGGCGGACATGAAACTGCAGAACGCTGACGGCGTCTCCTAGACGTAGGTGACACTCTGTGGAAAACCAAGGGAACGAAAAAGATCGGCAGAAAATGGCTATCGCATGCCGTGAAGTGGACTGACTGATTTCGCCTTACGTGTGCATATATCGGCCGAACTATGCGCTGCTTGGTCTCATCTCGCTCAAGGGTCTTTTTTATCTTCTCACTCACGACGGAAACCTGGGACACGAACGAGCAGCCCCTGGTATCAGTCTCACGGCAGCGGGCTTAACTCCGCGGAACAGTAAGCGGGATGTTGAAGAACTGGTCACGTCAGTCGTTGCAAACCTAGCCCGCGGAAGAGCCAGCCAACATACATACTGCGTACGCCCGGAAGCAAAATAAACCTTCGCCAGGAGTTAATAATCCAACAATTATACATGAACCACCCTCAAGCCACGAGATATGCGTAAAAATAAGGTCCGCTGCGCCTCACCGAGACACATACGTACACTACACAACCACCACCACCCTACCAACAAACCCCCAAGGGTATGTGACATCTACCACGCACGCAGGCCGCAAAAACATGGTGAGAGCCGCCCAGAGGGTGAAGGAAGCCCACTTTGCACAACGAACTGACACAATCAAAAATGTGGAACCAATGGCACGGCGCTGGCCTATACGAATCCCAGCCGTCCTGCATCCTGCGGCCTTTGCCTCACCTGGAACATGAGCACCATAAAAAAAACCGTAGAGAGGCAGACAAACTGTGTGTGCATACGTCGCCCCATGCCGCCGCCAAGAACGGTATAGATAGCACTTCTGTGCTTTTGTAAGCATCACATATGCAAAGTCAGCAGCGTCGGGCATACGTAACGTCCAAACACCCTCCAAGCCAACGGTTCCCACACAACCTTCTTTTTTGACTCTCTTGCGTGACAGGCGTAAGAGAACCGCAACCCTGGCCAAACCCGTGACAAGCTTCCAGCAGACGCCTATTAAGCAGGAAATACGGACTTTATCTTTTTTCCCGCGCGCGTCGCCGGACGGGATGACGCTGTATGCTTTACGTGCCTATTTACTTAGTACTCTGTAACAAAACATGGGCCAGTTGAGGAAACCTTCTTTCTCCAGTGATTGTCTCCCCACGCACCTATCACAAAAAAACATGCTCATCCCTTCGCCGACGATCATTGATGCCAACCACCTTTAAAATCGCACAGGAGCAGACGTCGCGGTGATCCTGCTTGACTAGCGCCGCTCCAGATCTTCACCGACGGACCAGGGGCACGCTCGGGGAAGGGGACGGATGGGCGGCTCAACCAAAAAGAAAACTTAAAATAAAGCTGTATATCATCTATCGATCTTTCTAAAGGGGGAAAACGTAGCTTGCACATTATGGTAGCCAACGTCGCACGAGCTTGGAGACAGTCTTTCTCTAACGTTGTTTTTGATGAATAAAACTAAAAGCTAAGCAACCGTTAGCAGTCTACTATTTTTAATATAATAGAAGAAAAAGAAAATCTAGGTAAAGAGGGAACCCCACAAACTCCCCAAACAAGTCAACATATTCGCAGCCCATGTCCTTGCCTGCCCCGAACGGCAACAGAAAACCGTCCGTTCAAACTTGCCCCCCCCCCCCTCCCCCCCCCCCCCCCCCCCCCCCCCCCTTCATCGCATCGCCCCCACAAAACACGATACTTACACGTTCCTGAAGGGGACGACCGTCAAGTCTGATTCTTACTCAGCGCCGCCCATTTATTTTCCCACAAAGCCAAGACCGCGATGCCCCACGAACAGCCCCTGTCCACCGTCCCGCCCATGTGGGAAAATGGGCGAACTGTACTTCGTCGTGGACAGTAAGGTACAGACCACGAGATGATATCCTAAGAGGTTCGACGCCAGTACAGAAGCTTAACCCGCCGCCTCAAGGTCACGACTATCCGAACTGTAAAGGAAAGAGTTTTGAAGTGAAGCCTCACGAAAAATAAAGATAGGCACCCCCAGATGACGAACCAATACCGCCGAATGGGAACACCTCCGTCTCTCCACAGTCCCAAAAGACCAACCACAACCGTTACACGACCCTCCCCCGTCCTCCAATGCCATCCATCCACACACACACACACACTCGAACGAGGCCGTTTCATCTTCGCGTCTATCGGCAGTCAGATTCGGGTACGCACTCCCAAACTCCTGCACTCTCTTTCCCACACTCCGTTTTTTCTTCTTATTGTGCGGCGTTATGGAAAAAAAAAAAAAAAAAGCCCTTACCTAAGCCATCCCATACCTGGGAACGGCAAACTCCACACGGCGGCCGCGCGCAAATTGTATCCCTCGGCCACCGAAAGACAGAGCCCCAATGCAGGAGAACCCCTGTGGTGGACAAAGACGGCGAAAAGGGGGGGTCCCCGACGCCAACCGCAACGACAGACGACAGGACAGACACAAGGTAGGCAAGTATTCGTACCTCGACTTTTTTTTTTTTTTTTTCGTCTCATGGTACACCCTGCCACGCGGTTGATGCTTAACACGACATTGAGCCTAAAAGGTCAAAGTGAGTGATCGACGGGGGAGGGGGGGAAATACTCCGCTGTCAGTTCGCCTCCGTTTCGGGGCCTTAGCTTTTACGAGGGCAAAGACAGATAGGTTCGCTAATGTGGTTTTCTTTGCGCGTGGCACCACCCGTTCGAAACCGCTTTGCGACGTGTGGCGGCTGTCATGATCTGGGTTGGATCTCAGAGCCGTTGGCGTGGGAACTGTAAACTTGTCACGGGAGAAAGATCGTTCACGTCTGTGGAGTAGAGGCAGAAAGGTAGTTTGAAGTGATGCCAGTCTATTCCGCTGCGGTCGTAACCGGCGATTGGGGGCAAATTCTGTAAAACTATGTACTGGTTCAAGTAATGACTGTAAACGACGCAAAAACTACCGGTGATGGGAACCGTTTCTTCCCCCCGTTTTTCTGTCCGTGATGCAAAACCCAAGTGTCCTCCCCCGTGAGGTTTGTGAAATACGCAAGACCGATATCATGATCTGTGATCCGTGGTTCCCTGATGGACTGCCCAAAGTGGCTGGTCTGATGACTCCCGTACGCCGTGGCGATGCAAAAAAAAAGAAAAGGTGAAAAAAGAATCGAGGCTAGTGTAACAATGCAATAGTGGTGTCCATCACGCGTTACTCCCCTTCTTCTAAATGCAGAACTTGCGGTCCAGCATCTGGAGTGCCTTGGCGTCGTGGCTCATGCCCGCAGGACGGTCCATCGGCGGCGGCAAGCCGGCAATGGCACCCGCTGTTCTCGGGGAGCTGTTGGCGCTGCTGATGGCGTTGGCACTGCTGACCTCCGAGCTGGAGGGCGTAGGGTGCAGCAGGAGCGCCGACAGGCTGGCCTTGTTCGCCGGGGCAGGAGTAACACCGTTGGCGTCCGAGTGCGTACTCCTGGGAGGAGAGACGGACAGGGTGCGGTTTGGAGGTGTGTGGGTGATGGGGTGGCTGGTGGAGGGAGGGCCAGAAACGGCGTTGACTCCCGGCAGGGGCCCTTGAGAACCGCGGTTGCCAAGTCTGGGATCGATCATGACGGCCTGGGCTGCTTGGGCTTGCAGGTGAGAAATGCGAGGAGATTCTGAAGTGCTGCGCATCTGGATCTGGGCGAGACGCGGAGACTGGTGTTGAGGAGCGTAAGGCGGAAGGGTCTGCTTCTGGGCCGTTGGCGGTGGGAGGGGAGATCTCTCGTAAGGAGAGAGGTGGTGAGGCGGCGGCGGCGCGTGAGAGTAGTGGGGAGCTGGCACAGGCGCGTGCGAAACCTGCGGAGGAGGCAGGTGATGTTGAGGAGGTTGTTGAGGAGGGTAGGGAGAGGTGGTGTAGTGGCTGTAAGGAGGAGTGGCCACAGGCGACGGAGGCCAGTAGCCGGTCTGCTGCTGGGCGTACTGAGGAGGGTAAGGCTGGGCGGGCATCTGCTGTTGAGGGTGTTGCTGAGCCATGTAGGGCGCCTGGGTCATCATCGGTCCTCTCGTGAGGGCGGGCGTCGGGTTGCTCTCGTGCAGGCTGGACTCGGGGTACATGCCCTTCATGGGCGTGATGTGCCTCAGCTGGGGGTCGGTGCTGGGCTGTTGGAGCTCTGGTGTTCCGGGGTGCGGCCTTGAGTAGTAGGAAATGAGGTGAAGGTGCTGGCCGGTCGAAGTGGTGATGCTGAAGGACTGCTTCATCAGACCGTCCGCCTTGTATCTGTAGCCCTCAGGCTCACCGTCCTCCTGGTCTTCGTCGCTACCGCGACCAGAGTCGGGAGTCTTGCCGGCACCACGTCTGCCGCCGCCAAAGCCGCTACCGCGCTTGCCCTCCATCTCGCGGTATGTCAGGAAGCTGCCGGAAACTCTGCTGGCACTCCACGACTTTCCATCGGTCCATCTCCTCATGCCGGCTTCCCTCTCGTCCCAAACAAAGACTGAGCCCGATCGGATGGATTGGCGTTCCTTTTCTGATAGCCTGCGCTGGACGCGAGGGAGAAGGCCGAGTCTGCAAGCCTCGAAGAGCTTGATAGCGTCTGCGGGTGTCCGCACAAAGCCGTGATATGTTTCCATTGTGGTGAAGTGTGATGAAGGTGAAGTGAGGAAAGAAAAGTAGGTCTACCAAGAACCTTCAATGGAAGAAGGTGATGGCTGGACAGAACCTTTTTAAGATGAAAGTAACCCTCCGGTGGTCCTCCACGGCGGCCCCACTGGGTTCGTTTGGGGCAGGGGTGGTCCGAGTTGGTATCGGCACAAGTTGCCCTCGACTTCGTAAGATCCCTGACAAGGTGCGCCTTATGGGAAAGTCGGGTAATCCGCGGCCACAGGACAGAGTTAAACCGAATCGCTATGGTTAAAACCCTTGTGACCAGGCTGATGGTATCGGCGGTCACGCCAAGAAATCAACACAAAGTGCAAGAACAGGTGAGACGTCTCGTCAGGTTGGTTGACGGTCCAAGCTTGCCGTCTGGCGGTCGTTTAGACGGCGTTTGTCGTAGGTGTTCCTGGCAAACGCTTGCTTCGTGAAGAAACGGTGTTGCGTAGGCTAGATGACGCAAAGCGAGAGTGGGTTAGCTCCTCAGGTTCGGTTCGGCGTGTGAGGGCGAAGGCGAGGATCTCTCTCAGAGACAGGATGAAGGTGTTTCGCAGGCGGCGATGAGAGGTGATGACAGAAGCTTATTCACAACACGATAAAGTGAAGAGTTGCGGCGCATTGAGTCGCACGTCAAGCTTCGAAAGGGTGGATCTTGTAGATGAGAACGGGATGTTGGAGTTGGTGAAGAGCGCTTGCAGCAGGCTTGCGAGACGTGCCGGGTATGAGTCGAGGCTGTCTGACTGGGCTGGAGCAGCACCTGTACCATATATATCCTGATACAACACGCGCAAGCCCACACTAGCAGTCGCACCCCCCAGGCAGGCCAAGCTTTTACCGACAGGGGAGTCTGGGTAAGGGAGGGTACTAGAGTGGACAGGGTTGGCAGGGGGGAGGGGTGCGGGAGGGCGTGTGACGGCGAAGGGAAAGGAGGAGGGGGGGTGTGGCTGGCGGGGAATAAAGTGACTTTGGACTTGACTTGGGACCTCCACTCTCCAAGAGAAGAGGAGGTGACCCGAGTGACCCAAAATTCCTTCTGGAATCACCCTGCGCGCACAGCACTTGCGCCGTCACAGCCGATCCACTGAAGAAGATGACGGGGACGAGGGGGTATTGGCTCTCGACTAAACTTGCCTCTTGGACCATCCCTGAGCGGGTTGTGTAGAGAGGCCGAGATGACCGATGGCCGAGTGACACTGGGCCGACCATGGGAAAAAAGGCGATGTGCATAAAGATGAGAAGCCAGACGACTGAATAGACTAGGGACGACGATCAAGTCGTCGGAGATATGGGAGATGTGCGGTGCTAAATGTGCTTACTGGGTGATGATGCTCAGCCGAGCCGATAAGCACTGGGAAATACATCGGCTCAGACGTATGATCTGCCTTTGACAGGTCTCTCTCCGTGCTGCGTTTTTGGACGACGACGCCTGCTGCTGAGCCTGGAGTGAACTCACTCCCTCCTCTGTCTGTCCGTCTCTGCCCTTTGCTGCTGATGCCTTGCAACACCACTGGTGCATTGGGACCAATCGCTGACAGGCCCCTGCAAGGCTGCTATGGCCCCCAAAGTCGCTCAAGACGGCTGGCAAGAGGGTGACACTGGACCAGTCGAGGGAGACAAGAGGTGACGCAGGTGCGGAAGCCCAGCTCAAACAAGGAGACAATGCGCCTGATCGACGACGAAGCTTGATTACGACAAACCGAGGGAAGAGGGGCCGAGATGGGGTCAAACGGGGGCAGAACAAAAGAGGACAAAATGGATCGGTAATGATGATTGAAACGTGAAGCGCAGACGTACCTTTCACAGTGAGCAGAATGAAGTGCCGTTTGATGCCTGCCGGTGAGGCTGTTGTATGGATTGGATGGGTACCGCAGTGCGGAAAGGTGACCACGATGATGGCGGCGGCGGCGGCGATGTGGGTGCGGGTGGATGCGTGCGTCAATGTCGTGTGTCGGATCGTCGTCCAAAGTCTGGAAAGCTCGATTTTGATGGGCGTCAGGCCGCGGAATGATTATGGGGAATCTTGACACTTGTTATAAGAGCAAGACACGCGGGAGATGAACGACAAGGCCCGGTTTGCGTGTGTATGGTTGAGATGAGATTGGCTGCGGCGAGCCAGGAGCTGCCGATTGCGTGGGCTTCTTTATGCTTGATCCAGTGCCGAAAGAGCGAGTCTGTCGGCGGGCGGTTCTTTGGCGCCTCTGGGGGAGGGTGACGGGGCCACAGAGTTAACGGTCTTCAGGGATACCGCCGCAAGTCAAGGCCCGGCGGATCGGGGACATAGGACAGAAAAGGTTGGGTGCGCAATGCCGCTTTTGGGTTTGCTGGGCGTGTCTGGGATGTGACCTCGGGGCGGGTTGGGTTTACGCGGACAGGCCGTTGGTTGCTGCGGTTGTGTCTGCGGTAGAGTTGGTTGGTTGGCTGGTGGTGGTGGTAATGGTGGTCACAACGGTATCTGCCATGTATTTGCAGATGTATCCCGTAGTGGTGACAAGCTTTAGGACGGATGGCCGGTGGGTTTGCTGGTTGGACGGGAGTGAACAAGAGGCCGAACGGACGGGAATATTACTGCGTAGAGTAGAGTTAGGGATTTCCGGAGCTCCACAGTAGTCAAGTTTAAAGGACACTTGTGCAAGTGAAGTGACTGGTCAGCATGTGTAGCGTTAGCTAGCGTAGGGGAGTGTGGACGGGAGGGATGACGACGCAAGACGGGCGCAGTTTGGGATGATTGGCAACGGGGGAGCAGCATCGGTATGTTAACAGTAATATGTGGGAACATGGGAATATGCAGTGGGCAATGATTGACGGCGGAAAAAATTAAGGTGAGGAAGGGGACGAGGGACTTGGGTAAGCTATCCGTACCAGACTCAGGGCTGCCAGAGTCTGGACGTCCCCGGGGCTCCAGAGTGAGGGCAAAGTACAGGGCTCCTTGGGATGCTTGAGATCCCAGGGCTGCGTCGGCATCGGGATGTGGGAGGTGGGTGGGTATTGTGAACAAGAATCTGAGTGTGCAGCGTCACCCCAAGTCAAACGCAAGCCCCAACTTTCCCGCGGCCTGAATGAGCTTGTTCTTGATCATCGGCGTAAGGCGTAGCCACCGTTCAGGGGAGAGCCAGGCTGGGCCACGGATGGGCAGAGGGCTGCGTACGTCTTCGGGATGCGGGAGGTGTTCGGCGGCGGGAACTGTAGATGGAGACGGAGGGCAGGATGGGGCCAAGGGCGACGGAACAGACGAAGTATGCGGTGTCTTGTGTAGAGAGAGTGAGGTGTAGCGTTCGGTGGCTGTTTACCTACCTCGGATAGTGCGCAGGATACGCGGTGTTCCCAGGAGTCAGAACGGACCAAGTCCCGACCAGTCGGACTGATCTGTTCTTTTTTTGGGGTATGGCGCTGGGGGAGAATGGAGACGGTTCAAAGACTGAGGCTGATGATGACGACGAGGGCTCCGGCGTACGTATGTCGACGGCGGTTGTTAATTAAGTGCGTGCAACAAGTAGGCCTCCCTTATTCTTTGCATGCCTCGGCCGGTTAGATGGCTCAGGAGAGAACTGGTGGTAGCAGTAAAGACTTTGTGTGTTTGATGGCCGCCACAACCAGTAACTCAAGCCGGCCGTCTCTCTCCGTGCCGTACTTGACTCTTGTCGTATTAGGGTGCGGATACACGGCAGGACCAGCGGCACAGATTGATGAGATTGAGACTGAAGCGATGTCCGGGTGGAATTGGGGCTCCCACGGGAATAAGCTAAAATCGATAGGCTCAGGCGGTAGGATTGGTTCCCAGGGTCTGGCGTTTCTGGCGTGCCGAGTGATCCAGATGGCGTGGGTTTGCGTGTTTGCACTTTGCAGTAAATGATGCTGTGCCTCAGGGCGGGCGCGAGAAAATGTGCTCACTGGACTGGCAACCCAACCTTGAAGCCAGGGCGTGAGTCGTTGGAAGTGGTGAGGAGTGACAATCTTGGCTCGGATTTCCTCCACAGTGGTCTGGCCACCTGCACCACCGTGGTGTCTCTGCCACAATGGAAGAAGCTGACGACTCGCTTCCCTTCGTTTTTTTTTCTGCCCCTGGGTGGCCCTCGCGCTCTCGGTCTTTGACGAACAACGGCTCCGCTTAAGCTTGTATCTTGTATATGCGGTGGGCAGACGAAAGTCCCTCTGCCGATTCGGCTGCGATCGTGGGTTATGGTATCAGTGGAAGGAGTGAGTGGTTGGGGTGAGAGTGGCGCCAAGAATCCCTGGTGCCCCAATAACTGATTATCTTGTATCTCCACGACGATGGTGAGGGCGAGAAAACCGGGGAGTGGCGGACGGTGATTGCTGAGGATAAAGCTGAAGGAGGGGAGGCCGTGAGTGATTAATAAAAGCTCAGCTCAGACAAACAGGCCCTCCGTCGGTCGGCAGAAATGGCAAAAGTCGACGAGGTGGTAATTGCAGAGGCGGCAGCGGATCGAAAGCACGAATGCGACGACGGGTGCGGCAACGGCTATGGCTGCATGTGTGGGATGCGATGCGATGCGATGCGAGCATGGGATGGCAATAAGGTGTCTGTAATAACCGTCCGACCCGAGAGTGTCAGAGGCAGAGTGTAGATGATGCCGAGTAAGAAAGCAGCAGCAGTAGCAGCCAAGGCTTGACTTGATGCCGAGACAGACGCTGCAGGCAGGACTGACGAATCGACGGACTTGAGACGAGGGGAGTGGCTGCGGGAGGTTGACGAAGACGAAGGTGGTGGTGTTGATGTTGGAGGTGGTGGGGGAAACCACGGGCTGCCATTCGGACGAGATGGAAGGCACCTACCTACCTACCTACCTTCCGTTCACTTGAAGCTTGGGTGGAAGGCGCGGCAAACTCATGTCACCTGCGACTTTCTCGTACCTTCTCACTTTTACAGTCTCACCTTCCTCGTCTTGATTGATAGACTGGTGATATCTACGGATGGGCAGGGCAAGGACTTTTGGCTTAGAAGGAAGGAGCATGTACTCGC